GCGTGCGCTCGCCAGACAGACAGAGAGAGACATAGAGACAGAAAGCGAGAAATCACCCCCCATGGGGGATGGTCACGCCGCAATCCCTTCTCCTCCATTCTCCTCTCGGGATCTTGGGCACGCATGCACACGCACACGCACCCGGCGTGAGTTTTAAGCCACCGGATCCGGGACGTGAACCTCGGTTGACTACGTGGGAGTCCAGCAACATAGCCATTACGCTAACTGCTGGTTCCTGCTCGGTGTGAGTTTTAAGCCACCGGGTCCGGGACGTGAACCGCGGTCGACTACGTGGGAGTCCAGAGACATAGCCATTACGCTAACTGCTGGTTCCCTACATTTTTCTTTCTTGAAAAATGATTCCTTGAAGGAGTAAGGTAACTGTCAATTATCTTATCCACATATATGATGTTATCAGCAGAGCTGATAACATACAAAAACAATGCATACAGGTGTACAGTAAGTTGAAAAACTGTCTTGGATACAATTCTGTAAGTGGAAGAGGCTTAAACTGGTTAGGTGTGTTATATACAGGAGAGACTGCTACAGAAAAAAGTATAATACCAAAACTAGCTTAAAACCCTCCCTATGCATTTTTTTTTTTTTGAGAGTTTTTTGCTATAGGGTGTGTGCGCTCACCAGAAAGAGAGAGACAGAGACAGAAAGCAAGAAATCACCCCCTAGGGAGGATGTCCATGCCACAATCCCTTCTCCTCCATTCTCCTCTCGGGATCTTGGGCACACATGCACACATGCCCGGCGTGAGTTTAAGGCACCGAGTCTGGGACTCGAATCATAGTCGACTACAGGGGAGTCCAGCGACACAGCCATTATGCCAAGTGCTGGTCCCTTCCCTATGCTACTAAGAGTAAAGCATGGTCAAAGCCCGCCTGTTACCTATGCACTAAAGATGAAGAAAAGGTTAAAACTAAAATCTTGGTTCGACCGGCCCAGCTTAAGAGTAGTAATGCTCATAAGGTTTACAAGTATAAGAAATACAACTGTGGATCCAAATCCCCTCCCCCAAGAACTAGAAAGTAGTTACTTAAGAACAAATGGCTCCAAATTATTTAGTCAAAACTATCCAACAGATCTAAGATCTATCCTACAGATCTCTCACTTTTAATATCCTAGAGGGGAATTAGTGCCATCTTCTGTATACCAGGAACTATAATAATTAGGTACAAGTTCTAGACCAGCAGGGGGAGAGGAGGAAGACCACAAAGAAAATGTAATTCATTTCTTGGTTCTTTAACACATAGTATCAGAGTTTTTGGTTAAAGTTCAAGTAGTATTTAATTTATTTTCCTTCTCAAGATTTATCTGTCTTATAAGGTACAGTAAAAAAACAAGATGATATACTAAAAGCCAATAAAACTTGAACTGTTATATACAAAAGGTAAAAAGAACATAGTCTGGGATAACTCTTCAAATTTAGTATGTTCAGAAAATAAGAAAAATTAAACAAAGCTCCAGGTGAGTCTGAGGTGAATTCCCAAAATAAATAACAATTTAGAAACCATTCAAAGTTACAAGTATTAAGATTCATGAAACTCCCAATTCTTTATTCTACTTAAAACAGTGCTAGGGGCGGGGAGGGGAGAAAGAGTG